GGGATAAGCGATGGAACCTTAGTTCGCTTGTGGGTTTGCTCCCTCAACATATACTAGATTCAATTGCTGCAATTCCTCTTCCTATAATGAATCAATTCGATGATGAAAGGTTCTGGCATGCCTCTAAAAATGGTGACTTTACAGTTAGATCTGCTTTCTCTATTATTCAATCTCAGCGCTTGGCTCAAGGTCAGGCCACAACACAGTGGGCTTGGATTTGGAAACTTAAATGTTCAGAACGAATCAAAATGTTTGTCTAGCTACTACAGCGGCGTAGAGTTCTTACTAATTCTGTTCGCTTTGATAGACATTTTGCTTCATCTTCCGTGTTCCCCCGTTGTGAACAAGTTGTAGAAACTCCAATTCATCTCCTACGGGACTGCTATTTTTCCAGACTGGTATGGGAAACCTTGGATTCATTGCCATCGGACTTCTTTGTCTTGGATTTTCAAAGCTGGTTGTTCAAAAATTCAATACGTTCTCACTTATTGAGCAATACCCACACCTCATGGGCGAGTTTGTTTTTATCTGTGCTTTGGTTTATATGGAAGAGTAGGAATAAGCTGGTTTTTGAAGGAATAGGGATGACTCCTGGTGCTGTGTTTTGGCAGGCTAGATCTCATGCCTTGGACACTTTTATTGCCTTGAACTCTTCTGTGTTGACAGTTGCTGGTACACCAAGATGGTTGGGGTGGCAACCTCCGAATCAACCTTTTTTGAAGTTAAATACAGATGGCTCTCGGAACCATCAATCTGGATGTGCGAGTGCAGGGGGACTGATCCGTGATCACTTGGGTCGTTGGGTCCATGGTTTCACGGCCAATATTGGTGTTACTTCCAGCTTTATTACTGGGCTTTGGGGCCGGTGCGGGGGATTGAAGTTTGCTCACTCTTTACACTTCCAGTATCTCATACTTGCGATGGACCCATTAATGGCCATTCAATTAATTCAAGCTCGTCAAGTAGAGAGGGGACCTTATTCTATCCTACTTTCTGATATCTTGGTCTTAATTGATGCTTTCAGTACATGTATCGTTCGTCATACACTTCGCCAAGGGAATTCTCCTGCTGATTTTATGGCTTCCTTGGGCCACAAATCCCTTTTGGGTATTACCTTTTATCAGACTCCACCTGCTGGGATCAGTATGCTTGTGCGTGGAGACGCTATTGGGACCATGTTCCTTAGATCTTAGACTCTTATTTAGCATCATCTGTACCAAAAAAAAAGGTCGTGTGCGTGTAGCATTTTCGAAATTCACACATCATTACTGAATGCGTATCATGATCAATATTTTCATTGAAGATTAACATGTGCTAGATGTACCATGAGACTGAATGCAAGAGTAGAACTGAAAGTAAAGAATCTAAAACCTCAAGATTTACATGCTCATGTCTCTCTTTAGATTTTTTTTTTTTTTTTTTTTTTTTTGGTTTTTCTCTTTGTTACGCATCACTCTTTGTGGGTGTTCAAAACTAGAGCATCACAATTAAATAAGTTTTTAGATGGGTGAACAAAATATACGAGAAACCAAATACAGAACTAGAAAGAGTAAAATTGTCTCTGTACAAGAATAAGAACTACCGTGCAGCTGGTAACAGGTAATTATCAGTTCCAACGAAATCCGGAGAAACGACGTTAGGGGAAGAGTTCATAGGGTGCCTTGACATCTGATCTGAGGTACCTTCTCTCACGGCCAAGGATTCTTTTTCAATTAAGATTGCATCTTGAATCTCCTTAAGAACTTCAGAAATGGATGGTCTCATGTGTCCGTAAAGCTGCACACACATCAGAGCTTTCTGGGCAATCTTCCGCACTGACTGGATATCGTATTCATTCTGTAGGGAGGGATCGATAATTCCCTGAATGTCCCCACTCTCAATGTGCAACTCTGCCTGTCATACAATCATTCAAGGCAATTAGATACATCAAGGTATACCCATATGCAATTACAAGAACGACTTTCAGCAGAAGTATTGTTTGTAGAACATAAGCTGTGTCGGAGTGTGTGTGTGTGTGTGTGTGTTATAAAAGGATCAGCAGAGAGTTTCCAAGTATCCTGCTCTAAGTAACTTAGAGGACTTACCCATTGGACAGTGTGTGTGTGTGTTATAAAAGGATCAACAGAGAGTTTCCAAGTATCCTGCTCTAAGTAACTTAGAGGACTTACCCATTGGACAATGTTACGACAAGTAGCACCAAAGCTTTCCTTAGAAATGGCTTCTTGACCCGATATCAGTTCCAGAAGAATGACGCCAAAGCCATAGACATCACTCTTGTCTGTTAATTGCTGATAAGTATAATACCTGGGCAGTGGACATCATAGGAGTGTATAAAATTGTAAATAGCATGGACAATGCAAATTAGTGCTTAACATGATTTAGGCAAAATGGCGAAATTTTGGGAAGAGGGGCATACTCTGGATCAAGGTATCCTACAGTGCCTCGAACCATGCTTGACACATGTGGCACTCCATCCACTACAAGTTTTGAGAGACCAAAATCTGAGACCTTTGCCTTCATGTGCTTGTCAAGAAGAATGTTGCTAGTTTTCAAGTCCCTATGGATAATGGCTGGAACACAGCCTGTGTGAAGGTATTCAATCCCTGGGTGCAACAATAAAGGAATAACATTTTCAGCTCTTGAACAAATGAGAACCGCATAGAAAAGAACATATTTATTATTATCCTCTAGCTTATGAACCTTTTGCAGCATCTTCAGCAATCTCAAGGCGTTTTATCCAACTGATACGTCGTTCACGTGTTAATGGACCTGTAGCAGTAGAGGGGATGAGTACCAAATTTTATCTGGCTTCCAAATTGATGAAGACATGAAGTTACCATAGAGATGCTCCTTGAGAGTTCCATTGTGCAGGAACTCATATACAAGCAAATTTCTCCCTTCCTCTTGGCAATATCCATGAAACTGCACCAGGTTTCTATGATGTATCCTTGAAAGAAGTGTTACCTATGCCAAAAGTCAAAATTTCACAAGATCTTCAGTTTCCTAATGGCCATAGGGAAAAATGCCAACTGGTTAGGCATAAATAAGTTGAACCCCATTCCCCACTGCAATAGGGAGAAACAAGAAATGAATTCAAGTAATTCAAAGTGCAAGGACTTCAGCTGTCATGTTTGGATACCTCGTTAATAAATTCTCGCTTTCCTTGGAAGGAATTACTGGAAAGAGCCTTCACAGCAATTTCCTTGCCATCTTTTAGTTTTCCATAATATACAACTCCAAAACCTCCAAAACCTATTTTCTTCTCAAAGTTACTTGTAGCATCTTCAATTTCTGAGAATGCAAAACATTGTGCTGCTTCTGCTGGAGCATCACCCAAGCTGGAAACTGGCCGATGAATAGGCAAGGAATGTTGAGATTGTTGAGATTGTTCTGGAAAAGAAAAAAAAAAAAAAAACACTATTCACATTGAGTCAACTAAGATAGTCCAATATGTTAACACTTCAAAAATCCAACCTAATACCTTTAACATGGCTTTTCTTCCCCTTGCACAAAAGAATGAAAGACACAATAATAGCTATAAGCAGAACAGCAGCTCCAACTGATGAACCAATGATTACTCTAGTGTGCTTCCCTTTTCCACCATCCTTGTGAAGATTAATGTTTTCAGAGTAGCTATGGAGAAACAGAAAGACAATTTTAAATTTACTGGACTATGAGACGAATATAATAGAACATAAGAGTGGCAAGGAGAAGGAAGAGGATAAATCATTTTTTAGGGGGAAAATTCAGTCCAGGATGCTTTAACCGACAATTATCAAGTTAACCAGTGAAGTTCCACAGCATTTTCAGAACTCAAGATGTAAATATGACAGTTTCCAGTTTCCAGTTTCCATCAATCTCTAGGAAATGTACTAACATATCATAGACGGCGAGATCTGAATGATACTTACTCAAAATCCAAGTCTTTACTCAGAAGACCTGATGGTACTTTCCCAGATAACATATTATTTTGCACGTGCCTGCAACCACCAGAGGGATCAAGCATATAACATCATTCCTAGGAAGTGGCATGGCAACCATTCACAAATAATTGACTCAACAGAAATAAATGTACCCAACAACCATTCAGATTAACAGAATAGTCCAACTTCAAACACTGATTAAGAAATATATTTTAAATATTCACTCGGTTAAGATTTGAAAAGTGTTGCACCTAAGCTTGTATCTCAACTGTTGGGCAACAAAAATAACCAATATCCAAGTTAGAATAACTTACAGTTGCCTCAGGTTTGGTAGGTTTGTTAAATATGAAGGGAGCTCACCCGTCAAGTGATTGTTCTCAAGATGACTGTATCAGACAAAGATTTTACTAGCCAATATTCGATAAGAAAACATAATTGAAAAATAAGTCATTGGTATTTACATGATCATCAAGTTTATGCATGCACTGAAATCAGGAATTGGACCAGTCAGCGAATTCCCATTGAGCCATCTGTAGAGAAAAGATGACTAAGAAATGGGGAGAAATAAAAAGAAGATGGTTCGCCATGACTCAACAAACATCAGAAAGTGCATAAAGCTCCGGTAAAAGAATAATGCTGTCTGGAGCTTACAACTGAACTAAACCGCTCAACTTTGTCAAGTCAGAAGGAATATTCCCTGTCAAGTTCTTCCCTGATAAGAAGCTGTAAAGCACCAAGGATACAAAAGTAATTATCATATCAGAGTTTCTTCTTAGAGATTTTGAAGTAATATGTGACTAAAACAAGAAATAATTCTATATATGCATCATATAGAACCTCAAGGATAAACCTTTACATGGAAACTATCCTTGGTTGTTTATCTGAGTTACACTGCACCCATGACCAAGGAACTGGCAGACATGGATCACCACCCTCTTGTGCCCAGTCTGCTGAGTAGAGTGAAGTTACCTTTCCAATAACTTCTCCTGCAACTCATGGAAAGTTTCAGATATGATATAAGCAGAACTCCCAGAGTTCAATCAATGTCAGGAACCCAAGATTATAACCAGTATGCCACTTTAGCAGTTAGTTATGAAAATATTAGCTTTACGGAGTGCATACAGATAGTCTATGAGCACTCAAGGAACAGCTACCATACTTACCATCAATGGAGCCATCATTTTTCTCCACATACTTATTTATCTCCGCGGCATTCAAAAGTGGTCCCCTGGTAGAATCAGAAGTCATTTTGAATTGAAATGGTGAGACAAGGGGAAAGCTTAGGTTGAAAAACCCTGGTTCATAAACTTTATATTTTCGTTGAGCATTTTCTGCGATATTCACTACAAGTTTGCTCACATCCGGGTTGCCCGGTAGGAGCACCCTGAATTTTCTGGACTCATTAGCAGCTAAATCTTCAATTTCTGCACAGTAGCAGAATGCCCAGCCATGACCAGGAAAACCATGCAAGACCAGTCGATAAGTTAATGATCCATTTGTACCAACCACAGCAGTCTGCATCACTTTTTGAGGTGGCAACTCCTCACCACTGGTAACATCTATTGGCATATTGGTTGAAATTTTCTTAGTGCCAGGAGCAACGTCAACAAGGAAATTTTCTTTCAAGTAATCAGCTTCCCATATTCTATCAAATGGGTCATCAGGATACCTGAAACAAAATTATATTTTTAATGGACTTTTCCATGAATAACTATTGCTTGAATGACAATAGTTCACTTAATGCGAATAGATTCATAGCTGCTAAAGTTTCCCCAACTCAAATCTTTCAATGACAATAACGCAATTCTCCAGCATCAGAACATTAATAACTTAATTTCTATTGATGCTGAGGGTTCACTACCTAAACAAGCAATTGGCAATGTCACTAGTTTGGCACTTCCAACCAGATATTCAGACATACCTGACTGGATCTTCACTATCTGCACCAAAGTTGATCCTCGCAGAGACACCAAGATAAAAATCTTCTTCAAATGGTGTAGAGTAAGCTGAACCATTAAATTGTCTGAGCTCAAGGGTGGATATGAATGGCTGCCCAGTTGTAGCATTGGACAAACACACACTAATAGTAGGACTTGTAGCCAGAAAAATTAGCTCTCGCGACTC